ACTTATTAAATAGTCAGTAGAACATCTGGATCTTGTCTTTCCAACTCATATCATTTATAAGTAAGACGTTTTCTTTCTGTCTTTTCCCTTTCTCTCTCTTTTTCTGTTATATGCTACCTTGTTTCTCTCTTATTTACAAACTCAATTTAAAGCATTCTTCTTCGTTATTTTACACTCTGTATATCTCGACCCTTTAGCTACCGCTTATGCCAGCAAATATGCTAGCATCTATTTTTCTAACACCTTCAAACACTCTGTTCAATTTTGGCTTTGCTACCGACGTGTCAATATGTTGTTGTCAAAACTAACTGAGATTGCCCTTAATCTATGTAGAATTTTATTTATTGTTAATGTACAAACTGGATGCAGTGCTGTAGTAAAATGCTGAGAATTCCATTCTGTATCACACACAAGTACTCTTTTGGAATAAAGCAAATTATTATTCCTAATACAACTTTGACTGACTTGAGATTTTAGCGTGATTGGCCCCTGCCAATGTCATCTGTGGTGAGTATTTCTCCTCAACCCCTGATAGGACAGACTCCACTGTTTATCGCTTCTCACAAGAACTTCAGGCAACTTTGTTATTCTCTATCCAGCCACTAGCGAGCATCAGAATGACTTTCAAAAGTTTATTTCTAGGGATTTTATTTGTTTCAACTGGAAATTATTGAGTTCGAATTCCGTGGGTGTATACTGCCACTTTTAACTTCATATTACTAGTACTAATTAAGTAAAAAAAAAGTGTATTTACAAGCTCAAAAAAGTTAACAATACACTGAAGATATTAAAACTTTATCGCTAAAATGTTAACGTATAAAACTAAATTAATTAACCAGCTTAATAGTATCACATATTTTATTTATATCAAACATAACCAACTGACATTGTTTTTAGGCTAACATTTTCATTATTTCCAATTCTAAGTGTACAATTTATCAGGCGTATTTTATAATGCTAATATATAAATCTTTGTCTTGTGGTGTGTGTGTGTGTACACTAAATGTTACAAATTACTCATTCAACAAATCATTCTCTTAGGTGTGCTACATATTCGATTAACATATATTTGGTTTGTTTATATGTATTTTTTAGAGTATTCGTCTACTCTAATTACCATCTTTATTTTTCTCTTATATATATATATCTTTGTATATTCGCATAAATCTGACCCACTTTCGTAATAGTCGAAGTCTTGTATATACAGACAACACATTTCTGTCTCTGTTTTTGTTTTGTTTTTGAATATGAAGCGACGTTTTCTCGTTTTCAACTATTGCAATGAGAAATTTATGTAAAATTACCTCTATACATCTTGTATATTTGTCAATACCTTCACTAAAATAAGTAGAAACAACAGACAATGAAAAAAATACCCACTCATGTTTATTTCTAATAGTGATCGTGTCAGATAAATACTTGATGGAAAACTAATTATAAATAGGTTTTACAATATGAACGTTGGTGGCACAGTGGTTAGGACTCCCGCCGACCATGCACATGGTTCGAGGTTCGATCCCCTGCCGATGCACACCTGATATCTATGGTCGGCCTCCAAAATTTGGGCTACCGATATCCATGCTGAAAATTCCATACTTGTACCAAAAATACAGTGTGGAATCAAGCTGTAATCAAAAATAAATAAAATAAATAATAAATACACTCTTATTTAAGCTTGTACAGAGTTGCGCGACTGATTAGTATAAGCATTCAATTTCCACCAAATAGATCCTGTAGTGGAATCTTTGTTCCACCTACTTGAGTTTCGGCGCAACTGATTGGTATCAACCACCTTCAATAAGTGTAACTCGTAGCCCCCGGTACTGGGAATCTGAGTTCCTACTTACAAACTATAATGAAGTATAATACAACCCGATGTTTCTCGTTCGTGAACACTTTTCAACCTTATGCAATGTAATGAATAATACAATGAGTGTATAACACACCTGAACTTCGTTGTTCTCCACGTGTTTAAATGTTAGATGACATTTTTTTTCTAAGTCACTTGTGGAAACATAGACTGTGTGTGACAGTGTCTATGCTAAGAGGTGTGCTCAAATTAAACTATTTAAGAAGATTTGGGGATACATATCATATATAATTACATTCATGATGAGAAACCAAGACAACTGGTGCACAAACAGCGTTAGCGAAACAACTTATAATACATAACGCCTATTATTCGCTTACATTTGAAGGTAGTGATGTTTACCTAAGGTTGTCTTCGAAGTAGATGTGTCGATCAAAATATTAAGTCATTGGATTGATTGAATATGTATGGATCCTAATTCAGCATATAAGACTATTATTTCGCTTTGTTACTTTGAATGAAAGGTTAGACAACCTTTATGTCACCTACAGTGTTATTCCGTCGAGGGAGGTACTATGGCGATGTTTGGATGTGAAGGGAATGCCGAGAAAATACAAAGCACTTGATCCAGGCACTCTACTCGAAATCATAAAGTCAGCCCGGTAAGAAACTACGGAGAGTTGTCATTTGAAGTGCTGATACCTACTGGTGTCTGTCAGGGATGTCCACTTTCCCAATTTCTGTCTAATTTCATCATAGATATACTTATGGACTTAACCCTAACTGATGACTTCAGTGACTCAGTGACTGACTTGTTACCAGTGAACAATAGTCTCGTTGACTTAGAATATGCAGATGATATAGTCATTCTAGGTGAGGATGCTGAAAAAGTGCAGAGAATTTGGAACACGTTGAGCAATAATCGTTGAATGTTTGGCATACGATTTGCTTCTACTGTCAAATGTAAGATGATCCTACATGACTGGGATTACATCGACTACTTCTAGCCTTTGAAGATACGGGGTCAAGTGGTTGGCGGAGCGTGTTGGTCCTTTCCTTTATTTGGGGATTTGCGTCAGTCGGTGTTAACGGGTTGATTGATGGCTGACAAAATCTCAGCACGGACACAGAAGGCTCGTTTATCACATGCCAGTTCACGTCGTCTCTATCGTAGACGTGATGTCTGGCCGGCTGTCGACCAAAGGAAGTGTATACTGTTCATCACTTTCCTCTGTCCTCCTCTATGGCTGTGAGTGAGATATGACCACTGAAAGTGTTAGACATGAAAAGGCTAGCTAGTTGTCTTTGATCATATGTGTCTGCATTCTATTTCCCGTGTGAAGTGGTGTAGTAAAGTGAGGAATATTGAGGTGAGGTATTGGTCGAGTGCTAGGTAGGTGAGAGGGGAAATCAATCGACGAGGCTGTGAAATTACATCGACTGAGATGGTTAGAACACTTTACGTATGCCTAGTCATCGCCTTTCTCAGCGGGCAATGTTAGTTGACATAGGATTGATCAGATTGGAAAAGAGTCAGTGGTGGTTAAACCAAAACATGGTTTCATCAGTCAATGAAATCCACAAGAGTTAGTTTAAGTCAGCCAGCCACGTAGGTAGGTGTAAAATGCTGTCTGGTTGGGGTTCTCGGTATGGTGAGAACCAATGACTACCGGAGACAGTTGGCGATATCGCTCAAAATCGTCCTCAATGGCTGTTGCAGATGCATTCACTCCTTGTGACCTATAATATCCAATAAAACTCCATTGTTCTTCCATATTACTATTCTTTTCGCCTCATGCTTCTGTTTACTTTTTCCTATTACTTTCTTCTCGCCTTGTGTGTTTAGTGAAGTGTGGCAGCTGGAACGGGTGCACATCTGTGTAAAGTTCTACGTTGAAAATTAGTCAAAGACAGTGTTAAATAGGTAACAAACTGAATCGATTTGTAGTTGAAAGACCACGTCATCAACTTTTAAAAAATGAATAATTTGCTTGCATCGAAACTTAGAAATAATCTAATTCACCTTTCTACGTTTGCCAATCTTTTCTCAGTACATTTCTTTTGAAATACAGAATACGCTTCATAACCATTGAGATGATATTGATGTCAATCAACTGAATCCAATTTCGATAATGTGTTGTATACCTTGTTGCACTTTATCGGTCGAGATTTCTGTTACAAGATTTATTAATCAGTGACTAATAATAAAATGCAAATTTATGCAGAATCATTTCGTAAAATATTGAATTTCTTTTTTTAAAATCGTTATTCGAATTCAGCACTGTAAAACCAGACTGCAGCTCATATTACTTATGAGTATCTTAAGTAGTTTAGTTGTCTTGATCAAATTTTCTATTCGACAGATATATGGGAAAATAATCCAGTCGAATTGTTATCTAAATCTGACACCATCCAAGCATGTGAGAGTGAGTCATTTGTGCAGTCTGAAACAACCAACTCCGTCTTGAAGGAGGTTTTTCACTAGCCTAATGAACATCATTTGTAATGCTGAAAATTATTGACTTCTGAACGGGATAAAATGCACCTTTGTCTTCTACTGCTAAACATGAAGATGAAAATCAAGGTATCTGTGAAGTTATGTCTATGTGTGAGAAGAGTCTGTGAGCTGAGGGAAACGATGGGGAACTACGAAAATTGAATAAAGGAACAATGAATTTTTCCTCTTAATGCTTAAATTCTGGTGTTTTTCTATTGACTAGAATGGGTCAAACCTACAAACTCACTCAGGGACATACTTTCTAGGCTAAAGGACACTATTGACCCAATAGAAAAGAGTATAATTAAGTGTAGAATAACTTACCTCACGGAAATGAATAGTGTAGGGAGATTTCGGGCAATAATAATGAAACAATACTGAAGCAAGTATTCATGAGGCCGATATAATTGAAGGATTTAATCAGCTTTGTCTGTAACTAGTGAAGACATACAAGTATGCAAATTGAAGTAACTACCGTTAGTGGATTTACCAATCCCAAACCTCTGTAAACGTTCAATAGATTTTCAATCTACAAGTTGCTGTCTCTAATTATAAATTGATATGCTGTTTAATAATTAATAATCTCTTGGTTTTATGAGGGTGACATACCTTTTTCCAATAGTTAAATCCTTACTATGTTAATTTTCTTTTTAAACCTTAAATCTTTTTCGAAAAATTTCCATTTTATTTTAGCTTTCTTTAATGAAGGAAAAATTCGATGTAAATGAAAAGAAACTTTTTGAAAGTCAACAATTACTAGACGACTATAAAGTACAAATTCTTCATTTATCTAATGAGCTGAAATCATTGAAAGCGCAAATAAAACCACAAGTATCAAATACCGTTAGTGATAATGATGTATGCAGTCAGATTAACAATGATAATACTACTAATCAAAAAGATCGTGAAATTCATTTCAATAGATGTCAAAAATTACTTTTAACAAATACTATTGAAAAAATATTAACATTATTAAAGCACAATGAAAATATTACTACACAGTCAACTGAATTAATGGATATATATGTTCATTGTTCACCAAGTAAGTAGACACTTAGGCTTGTTAACCAATGCCTTTCTCAAGGATTTTCTTCTAGGAAAACATTTATTGCCTTACCTTTTTGTTCTGTTCTTAATTTCTTTTTCCTATTTTATTATTTTATTCCATTACGCTTCCAGTGAGTGTGCGTCGGTGGCCTAGCGGTTAGGACGCTCGCCGACCATGCACATGATCCAGGGTTCGATCCCCAGCTGACGCACTGCTTTACCTCGCTAAGCCAGAAATAATCCTGTTAAGGAGGAAAGGTTGAGCATAAGGCTAGCAGCCGCATCCTGTAAAATGTACACTGCTACAGAAACTTCAAGCGACTACCTTGAAGCCCTGTGTTCTGCTGGGAATGTAGAGGAATAAAAAAAACGCTTCCTGTGAAACATAGGACTTCAAGTTTGATCTTCGATGTTTCGGTAGTAGTGGTATTTTGTTTTAGGCGGTGGGGTCGCTAGCCTCATGTCCAGCGTTCCTTCTTTATCGGTCTTATTACCGGCTTATCGAGGTGAAGTAGTGAGTCTGTGGCCGGTAATCGAATCCTGAACCACCTGTGGCGTGGCTGGTGAGCATTCTACCACTAAGCCATCGACGCACCTATTTCTAACATATTAATATTGAAGTTCATGGCTGTCAATTTTCCAGCTCCTAACTTACAAGAATGACAGTGATTCAGTGGTAGAATGGTCATCAAGCATGTGAGAGATCCGGGCTCGATTCCCAGCGAACAAACTCTTAAACCTCGCTTAGTCAATAATAAGCTGGACACGAGGCTACTAGCTCTACCCTGGACAAACAACACCATGGCTAATGAGACTCTTAAGTGTGAAGCTCTCTTAGTTTCACTTAGAACTCAAATGAATGAAAATTTGAAAAGTAATGTTTTACAAATTTGAAATCTTAGTTCATCCTCATCGTTCTGGGTAGCTATAAAGTAACATAATCTGAGAACATAATAAATAAAAGTTTTGTGCAGAATAAATTAATTTCAAAAAAAAATCAAAACGTTACCTATAATCAACATGAATTTACCTGGATTCAGAGTTGAAATGCACGTGTTGTGCATGAACTGGTAATATTAAATAGCTGAAGAAATGAAGCGGGCATTAAAGCTGTAATTCATCGGTCGAGGAGTCTAGTGTCTAAACATAAGAGCCACAATTTCACTGTTATCTGAATGATATTGATACTTGTTTTATTGATCTTTGTGCCAGTTAGTTATTATTTTCTATCATTCCTTTGCATTCCTGTTGTAACACAGAGCTTCCAGTTTGAACTTTGAAGTTTCAGTAGTTGGAGTGTTGTTTTTTACTGGGTAGGAGTGATAGCCTAACGCCCAACCTTCCCTGTTTAATTTTAAGAGTGTGTCGGCTGGTAGTTGAACCCAGATCACGTGTTCGGTTGATTACATAATAACAATAATAATAATAATGAATTCATATAGGCATGCATGTACTCGAAAGGCAAATAATTAAGTATTTTAAGGTGATACTCATAAATATAATTCCTAATTGCAATGTCTGAATAGGTTTATGCTTACTCATATTTACATATTTTCTTTGTTGACATGTCGGCCCCTAGTAGACACGCTTTTCCAATGGCATAATGTTAACTTAATAGTTTTTGGTTGATAGCGGGTAACAACAGAAATTAAGAAATTCCACTGCCAGCCAACAACTGGCAATACATGCAATACATTATGACCTTTTCCAATAAACTAGACCACTGGAAGTTTTAATCAGTTAATAGCCAATAACGTTTTTGATTATTGAATGATCATCGATCGTACTTGAGATGAAAAAAACAGTAATTCAAACACACAAGTGTGCTTATCTCTAAAACAGACGCGACTACAATCATGATTTTTTGTGTCATACTGTGATATACGTTTTAGTTATAGAGGTATTCAGCGAATAAAGCTTTCTTTACGACGAAGTTATCGTCTAAGGCCGTACATCCGTGTATTTATTTATACTAAGCGGGTGAGAAACTTCCAGGACTATTTTCGGTGAAAGATCAAATAAATGAAATTGCAAATAGGCATTCAAATGTAGTAATAGAAAGATTGGATAAAAACATGGCAGGATCATAATTACCTGGAAAATTGACTTTTTGTTCACTTGCAGATTAAAAACGTAACGCCAACAAAATAGACAGGAAGTTTGAATTAAAAAAAAACATAGTAGTGCAAATAGGGATTAAAAGACAATTTGGATAAGAAAGGTAATAGAATAATCACTGTTTAGAGAATCGGCTTTTCATGTTGGCCATTTTATAGACTTACATAGGTTGGATGTATTTCCTTTGGATAAATGCCGTGGCCTTGAACTTTTAAATCGCTAGTGCCTCAGCTAAGCCTAGATGCCTTGATCTTACTTCCTTTGAGAGGTTAAGTTGGATTTTGTATGTGACTTAGAAGGATTCACCTGAATTCCCCATATGTTCTATTACTGAACTATGCACACCTGCGTTCTTCTTTTAATTCATTTTCCCGGCAATTATGATCCTCTATAGTTTGGTTTGTAAGGGTTAGTTTTGTATTTATGAGTTGATCACGGATATCAGCTAGAGAACCATTGAAAACCAGGGAGTACTGGACACCTGTATCATCCTAGTTTGTTTATCATCAGCAGTACGCGTACCCACCACCAGGGTTCGAACCCATGACCTTCCGGTTACAAGGCCAGCAAGCTCGTATGCCATTCAGCCACTGGGACCCGTAAACGCGTAGCTGAACACTTCCCGGTTTGTTTAATAAATGGTGAGCACAGAACAATAAAGTCTTCAAGTTGTGATCACATTCTAGAGTCAGCTTATTCAGCCCCGTGTGATTTATCCTCCAAAGTTATTTACAGGACCAAAGCCAACCACTCCAAAAGATTACTTTTTCTCCACTTAAGCATAGCCGAAGCTTTAGCTAAACATGAATTTTTTTTCCTTCACGTTCCCAGTGGAACATAGGGCTTCAAGCTAGTGGCTTGAAGTTTCTGTGGCGTTGGAGTTTATTTTTACAGAATGTGGTTGCTAGCCTCACTCCCAACCTTCCTTCTTTACCAGC